CAATGGCCTAGTGGTATTATCACTGGACTGTTAATCCAGAGAGCCAGGTAATGTTCTGATGACTCGGGTTTGAATCCCACCATGGCAAATGGTGGAATTTGAATTCATAGAATCATAGAATCCCTGCAGTGTGGAAGCAGGCCCTTCGGCCCAACAAGTTCACACTGACCCTCAGAGCATCCCACCCAAACCCAGCCCCCTATAATTTACCTAATCTACATATCCCTGAACACTATGGGCAATTTAGCATGGCCAATCCACCTAGCCTGCACATCTTTGGACTGTGGGGGGAAACCCACGCAGACACGGGGAGAATGTGCAACTCCACACAGACAGTCACCTGAGGGTGGAATTGAACCCGGTCCCTGGCACTGTGAGGCAGCAGTGCTAACCACTGTGCTACCGTGCCACCCCAAATTCAATAAAATATCTGGAGTTAAGAATCTAATGATGACCATGAATCCATTGTCGATTGTCGGAAAAACCCACCTGGTTCACTAATGTCCTTTAGGGAAGGAAACTGCTATCCTTACCTGGTCTGGCCTACATGTGATTCCAGACCCACAGCAATGGGGTTGACTCTTAACTGCCCTGTGGGCAATTAGGGATGGGCAACAAATGCTGCCTAGCTAGCAACACCCTCATCCTGTGAATGAATAAAGAAAAATCAAAGAAATACAAAAGAGACCAAGTACTTTGGGTAGTGAAATGTCAGAATCAGCTGATATTCAGTTACAGTTACAGCAGCTTGAGCATGAGAGAATGAAAAACTGATAAAAGATAAGGAAAGGGGAAATGGAATGGAAATGAAATTAAAATAAACATTGTGAAAAGAAAGCAAAAGTGAGAGAATATGTATTATAAGTTTAAAATGGCACAGCTGAAACAGGAGATATGAGATGCTGATGCAGATTTTGTTGGGTAGAATATGAGCCCTAATTTAAAAGTACAGTGAGGAAGTGTTTATGTTGACAGATAAAGCACAGGAAACTTATGCTTCACTGTCAGAGTAGGTTTGTTGTGATTATGATGCACTGAAGAAGACTGTTAATGTTGGCTGCCTACAAGTTAGAGGCTGAGGCACAGAAGTAAAGGTTCTGGAATATAAGGAAATATGGGTAAACTGATATTGAATTTCAAAGTGTTTTAAAAATCCAAGAGTAGTTTTGACAGGTGGATAAGAGCATTAAAAGATAAAACGACATATGAAACTCTCATAGAGGCACCTGTGGTGTCGAGAGTAGGAAGTCCGATGTTTTCCAGAGAGCGGGCCAAAGCAGAGGAGACTGAGCCCTTGCAGGCAGTGCACTTAAAGATTGTTGAACTTTCACCTTTGTTCCTTTATTTTTCCACTTAATACTAGGAAGGACTGTAATGTTAACTTTTAACTTTATTTCTTTGTTTTTCTGTTTATACTAAGAACAACGGTAATGCTTTGCTTTTAACTTTGTTTCTCTATATTACCACTTGTACCTGCATTTTGTACCTAGGTACCTTTGTACCTAAGATGTGCCGTGTGTGGTGACATTGTAAGCTCCACACTGTGCTCCTGTACTTGAGTACACGTCACAATAAAGCTTAAATCAATGAATCAGAAGTTGGCTCAGAGTGCTGGAAGTTGAAAGGAAAACCCATGGGAACTATTAACATGCATAAGTGAGTCTGAAAAGGAAACTCAGAAGACAAAAGCCACTAGTCAAAATGTAACTTTAGCTCTGGCCTCTTAGTTGCAATCAGTCGCTGCTCTGAGAGCAGAAGAACTACACATGGTAGGTGAGAGATTCAAAGGGTTTTTTTGAAAGGCAAGATAACCCCATTTCATCCAAAGGAAGTATCAAAGCTGATAACTATTCAGTAACATTCAGGAGCTACTTAAACACTTTCTCTTACTGGAGAGAAATGATGGCCTAGTGGTATTATTGCTAGACGACTAATGCAGAGACTCAATAATGTTCTGGGGACCTGGATTCAAATCCCACCACAGCAGATGACTACAATTGTCAGGAAAAACCCAACTAGTTCAATCTGCTATCTTTATCAGTTCTGGCTTACGTGTGACTTCAGATCCACAGCTTCTGGGCAACTAGGGAATGGCAATAAATGCTGGCCTAGCCAGCAATGCTCACAAGCAGTAAATAAATGAATAAAATACAGAGCACTAGTGAGACTGCATCTAGTATACTGTACACTGTATTGGTTACCTTATTTGACGAAGAATGTAATTACATTGGAGGTAGTTCAAAGAAGGCTTAGGAGCTGAAATGGATTGGTTATTTTGAGGAAAAGCAGGACAGTCTAGGCTTATTTGCACTGGAATTTAGAAAAGTAAGAGGTGAATTGATTGATCTTGAGGGGTCTTGTCAGGGGTAGAGGTGAAAGGATGTTTCTTCTTATGGTACAGTCTATAACTAGGAGTTGCTTTTTAAAACTCAAGAGACACCCTTTTAAAATAAAGATTAGGCATTTTTTTTCTTTGAGGCTTGTGAGTCTTTGAAACTTCTGAAAAGGTTTTGGAAGCAGAATCCTTGAATATTTTTAAGGCAGAGGCAGATTGATTCTTGTTACATATGAGGTTGAAAAGTTGTTGGATGTAGGTGAGACGGTGGATTTAGATTTGAATCAGCCGTTGAATAGTGCAGCAAGTTCAAAAGGCTGAATAGCCTACTCCTCCTGTTCCTGATTTGTAAGTTCATACATTTGTATTTGCACACAATTGTAGAAGATGATAAGAAAGGTCAACAAGACAGTTAATACAGTACGTGAAATGTAGCCTTCATAGAGGAGATGAAAGATGAGACATTAGACTAAATATATTGTGATGATAATGTGCCTTTTAAGAGTTGTATCCTGTCCTGTTCTGTTTCTCTTGCAGAGGGGTTTTGCTGCAGTGGCACCAAGATGCCTCCCCCCGGCAGGCAGTTTTTAAATAGCGGATAACAAGGTGTAGAGCTGGATGAACACAGCAGGCCAAGCAGCATCAGAGGAGCAGGAAGGCTGACGGTTCGGGCCTAGACCCTTCTTCAGAAACTCCAGTTTTTAAAACTCCAGTTTTTAAATAGCTATGGGTTTCTCCCTGCGTGTTTTTTAGAGTAAGACAAAAGACTCATGAGTGGGCAGGTCAGGCTCACACAGATCCAGGGAATGTCAGTTTTACTTTCAGATGTTCTTTTTTGTTAGTTAGCTGCTGGAGTGGACAGCTGGAGTTCTCTCTACTGCTAGATTGAAGACTTAGACAGTTTTCCTCTTTGGAATCAGAAGGGGCAGGTTGTTTCTTTCAGTGTTTTTCCTACTGGATAGAAAGACAGCACTTGAGAATAATAACTTTTTGCTGCATTGCATTTTGCCAAAGGGTGTGTTAGTGGAATGCTGCCTATATTGGAACACTTGATAATTAGTGGTAAAATAATACATTATCTTGTTAAGTCTGTCGATTGTACAAAAATATACCGATTCTTTTGTTGCATTTTACTTGTATTGTAGAAATCAAGTATGTTTTGGTTAAGGCTTAATGGTGGACCAGTCGAATCATATCTGGAGGACAGTGCCTCACACTTCTTTGTAAAATAAAATAAAAGTTAAGTTATAGGCTATCTCCGCCAGGATCAAAATCTCTCATTCCAAGTTGGGTTTAGGATTTTTGGATTCAAAAACAGTGACTGGTGAGTGTTAGTGTTCTGTTTTCAGGTGTTGTGTTTGGTTGGTTTAAATAGAGAATGCCTTGTGTAATCACGGTTCTTTCAGTAGCTGAATGTCCTAGGTGTGGAAAAAGTCACTTGGGGTGGTTTACAGAAGGTGAGTAAAGCAAAGCTTTTAGAGGTCTTTGTGTATATTTAAGGCAGAGATAGAAAGATTCTTGATTAGTAGAGAAATCAAGGGTTATGGAGAAAACACAGGAAAATGAACATGAGGAATGATGGATCAGCCATGATTCTATTGAATGGAGGAGCAGGCTCGGGGAGCCGAACAGCCTACTCTTCTCCGTATTTCTTATAGTCTTAAACAATGAGAAACTTTCCAACGGTTCATTTTCCAACTGTGTTCAATAATTTCAGACCATGAACTCTGTCTCGTATTATGAATTTTTTTTTGCCACGTGCCAATTTGCATCTTTTATTTCACGTATTTGCGTTTGGACAAATTTTTGCACTTTTCTGGCATTTACAGTCACTCGTTAATAAAATGCTTTGTCTCTACTGCAACCAGTCCCACTCCCCTTGCCTTTTGTGCTGTGACATTTTTGTCACATCATCTTTCTGAGCCACTACCTGATGCCAGATCTTCGCTTTTCTGAATTTTTAGAGAGCATATAATCCATCACATTTCTACTCTCCTTCAGTTCTGAAGAACACTCACTTGATTCAAATGTTACCTTTTTTACCTCGCTTCACAGATACTGCCAGACCTCCTGGGTATTTCCAGTACTTTGTTTTCATTGCAGACTTGCAGCATCTGAATGTTTTTACTTTTATTTTAGATTAGCTGTGGGTTTTGTGGAGCATTCCAATTATTGGGCTAAATAGTCCGACTCTGTGTGTACTTCCTATGTAAATCTATGTATGTCTATTGGTTCCATGGCTATGAACATTTAAAACTCTTAAAGCAACTGGGAATGCTGTAATCCCCTCCCCCATTTCTGAAGAAGGGTCTAGGCCCGAAACGTCAGCCTTCCTGCTCCTCTGATGCTGCTTGGCCTGCTGTGTTCATCCAGCTCTACACCTTATATATCTCAGATTCTCCAGCATCTGCAATTCCTACTATCTCATCCTACAAATCTAGCCATTTTTCTTTTCCAGTTCCCTTTCACCCAACCTTACATTCAGCCACCTAAATTACAAACTCCGATTGCTTACCCTGAACTTCCAAAGTTCCCTGTCATTCCTAGAAGACTCCACTTAAAATTTTGCAGAGGAAAGCACACAGAATTGCTAAGTGGCCTGGCCCAGTACTTCTTGGTGTGATTTGGCTGTATTCAATGAGTTTTATTTCATTTTGCTTTTTAGGGGAAAGAAGTATGACAAGTTACACATTGCAGTGTTCACTGATCTGAACAGTCCTTTCAGTTCCGACCAGTTTGATGTCATCTTAAGTAGCATGAAAAGGTTTGGAATCACACTGCAGTTCTTGTAAGTACTGATTATTGCATTCTGTTAAGATCTAAAATGTGTTTGGTAAGATTGGCCTGGAACAACCCACGTAGTTAGTGGTAGAGTGTTGTGTAATAGCAGTAGCTTGGCAACATGTCTGTTTTAAGCATACTGAATTACTGAGTTTCAGCAGCCCTTTGGGATAGAGAATTCCAAAGATTCACTACCCTCTGAATGAAGAAATTTCTCTGGTTCCTAAATTTGCAGAATCACAGAATTGTGTAGGAGCTGAAGGAGGTCGTTTGGCCCACTGGACCTAGGTAGGTCATGCCTGACAAACCTAACTGAATTTTTTGAAGAAGTGACTAAGGTAGTGGACAGGGAAGTGTCTGTGGATGTTGTTTATATAGATTACCAGAAGGCATTTGATAAAGTCCCCCTCAGAGACTGTTAACAAAGGTAGAAGCCCACGGAATTGAGGGCAAATTACTAATGTGGCTAGAAAAATGACTGAGTGGCAAGCAACATAAAAAAGGGATAGTGGGTACTCAAATTGGCAGGATGTGACCAGTGGTGCCTCAAGCCCATAAAGATAACATCTACTGACTCCTTATCAATCATCTCTGTTACTTCCTCAAAAAACTCAAATCAAGTTTGTGAAACACGACCTTCCCTGCACAAAGGCATGCTGCCTATCGCTAATAAGTCCATATTCTTCCAAAAAGAGTGAATCCAGTCCCTAAGATTCTTCTCCAATAATTTTCCAATCACTGATTAAGGGTCATGGCCTATAATTTCCCAGATTATCCCTGTTGCCCTCCTTAAGCAAAGGAACAATGTTGGCTGTTCTCCAGTAACAAAGATTTTGTACAAGGCTCCAGCAACACTGGATGACTAGAGATGTTGAGGTTCTAATCAAGATAAGGAAGGAGGTAAAGATAAAGATAAAGAGATCTGGGTGTTCAGGTCCATTGTACCCTGAAGGTGGCAATACAGGTCAATAGAGTAGTCAAGAAGATACAGCATGCTTTCATTCATCGGACAGGGTATTGAGTACAAGAGTTGGTAGGTCATGTTACAGTTGTATAGGACTTTGGTTCGACCACATTTGGAATACTTTGTACAGTTCTGGTCGCCACAGTACCATTCAGGATGTGGATGCTTTGGAGAGGGTGCAGAGGAGGTTCACCAGGATGTTGCCTGGTATGGAGGGCGCTAGCTATGAAGAGAGGTTGAGTAGATTAGGATTATTTACATTAGAAAGATGGAGGTTGAGGGGGGACCTGATTGAGGTCTACAAAATCATGAGAGGTATAGACAGGGTGGATAGCAAGAAGCTTTTTCCCAGAGTTGGGGACTCAATTACTAGGGGTCACGATTTCAAGGTGAGAGGGGAAAAGTTTAAGGGAGATATGCGTGGAAAATTCTTTATGCAGAGGGTGGTGGGTACCTGGAACGTGTTGCCGGTAGAGGCGGGCACGATAGCGTCATTTAAGATGTATCTAGACAGATACATGAATGGGCAGGGAGCAGAGGGATACAGATCCTTGGAAAATAGGCGACAGATTTAGGTAGAGGATCTGGATCGGCGCAGGCTTGGAGGGCCGAAGGGCCTGTTCCTGTGCTGTAATTTTCTTTGTTCTTTGTTCTTTTTTGAGCCATATGTGAGGTGTAGACAGCTAGGATCAAGTGGATCCCTTGAGGAATATTTGTGTGTACGGGGACACTTCAGAGGGAAATCAGGAGGGCAAAATGGGGACATGAGATAGCTTTGGCAGATAGGATAAAGGAGAATCCAAAGAGATTCTGGAAGCATATTAAAGTCAAAAGAGTATCTAAGGAGAAAATAAGGTCACTTAAAGATCAACGAGGCTGTCTGTGTGTAGAAGCAGTGGAGATGGGTGAGATCTTAAACAAATGCTTCTTGTCAGTATTTATTATGGAGAAAGTACAGAGAAGATTTACAAGGATGTTATCAAGACTGGTTTGAGTTATAAGAAGTGGCGGGATAGGCTGGGACTTTTCTTCCCTGGAGTGTAGGAGGCTGAGGGGTGACTTTATTGCGTTTCTAAAATCATGAGGGCTGTGGAAAAGGTGAATAACCAAGGTCTTTTACCTAGGGTAGGGGAGTCCAAACCCAGAGGGCGTAGGTTTAAGATGAGAGGGAAAAGATTTAAAAGGGGCCTAAGGGGCAACTTTTTTGCACGGAGGGCGGTGCGTACCTGGAACGAGCTGCCAGGGGAAGTGCTAGATGTGGGTACACTTACAACATTTGAAAGACTTTTGGACAGTTACATGGATAGGAAAGATTTAGAGGGATACGTGCCAAAAGCAGGCAAATGGAACTACTCAGTTTAGGAAACCTGGACAGCCTGTTTCCATGCTGTATGAGTACGACTCTAATTTCCTCACCTTCCTCCCTGAGCATTCTGGGATAGATCCTATCAGGTCCTGAGACTTGACTACCTTAATGTTTACCAAAACACGCAACACCTTTTTTTAATATTGACATGCCCTGGAATATGAACATACTCCTCCTGACAATCACCATCCACTGTGTCCTTCTCCTTTGTGAATACCAATGCAATTCGTTAGGGACCTCACTGACTTCCACTGGCTGCAAGCATAAGTTCCCTGTATATGATACATATATAAAAAACACCTTGGGATTTTCCTTAATCGTCTTTGCAAAAGACGTTCTGTGTCCCATTTTAGCCCACCTAATTCCTTGTTTGAGTTCTTTCCTACTATCTTTGTATTTTTCGAGGGCTCTGTCTGTCTTCAGATTTCTAAACCCTATATATGCTTCCTTTTCCTTTCTGACTAAGCTCAACCTCTCTTGTAATCTAAGGTTCCCAAATCTTGCCACCCTTACCATTCATTTTCAAGGAACATGCCAGTCCTAGACTCTAATCAACTGGCTTTTAAAAGATTCCCACATTCCATATTTGGTTTATCTTCAAACGGCCTCACTCAGTATATATTTCCCAGTTCCTGGTTAATAATTTGGTAGTTAACCTTTTGCATTTTAATACATTTATCTGAGGACTACTCTTGTCCTTACCCATAAGTAAGTTAAAACTTACAGACTTATAGTCAAAAATTACACCATTTTTATTCCTTAGTTCTAGCCGCATTGACTCATCTTTGAACCCATAAGACCATAAGACACAGGAGCAGAAATTAGGCCATTCGGCCCATCGAGTCTGCTCCCCCATTCAATCATGGCTGATAAGTTCCTCAGCCCCATTCTCCTGCTTTCTCCCTGTAACCCTTGATCCCTTTGATAATTAAGAACCTATCTATCTCAGTCTTAAATGTACTCAATGACCTCGACTCCACAGCCTTCTGTGGCAGTGAGTTCCATAGATTCACCACTCTCTGGCTGAAGAAGTTTCTCCTTATCTCCGTTCTAAAAGGTCTTCCCTTTACTCTCAGGCTGTGCCCTCGGGTCCTAGACTCTCCTACCAATGGAAGCATCTTCCCAACATCCACTTTGTCCAGGCCGTTCAGTGTTCTGTAAGTTTCAATTAGATCCCCCCTCATCCTTCTAAACTCCAATGAGTATAGTCCCAGAGTCCTCAAACGTTCCTCATATGTTAAGCTTTCCATTCCTGGGACCATTCTCGTCAACTTCCTCGAACCTGCTCCAGGGCCAGTACATCCTTCCTGAGATATGGGGCCCAAAACTGCACACAATACTCCAAATGTAGTCTGACCAGAGCCTTATAAAGCCTCAATAGTACATCCCTATTTTTATATTCAAGTCCTCTCAAAATAAATGCCAACATTGCATTTGCCTTCCTGACTACTGACTCAACCTGCAAATTTACCTTGAGAGAACCCTGGACTAGAACTCCCAAGTCTCTTTGCACTTCAACCCTTTGAGATTACTTCATTCTCCAGGACTGTAATGCCTTCCTTGACCAACACACCCATCATTCAGCTGCTTGCCACTGGTCTACACTGAGTTGCAACAAAATCAGAGTGACAACTCAGAAAATGAATGAATTCTATGGCTGGTAAGGAACTGGCATTTGGAACTGGCAGTGCCTCTGCCTTTCCATAGTTTTCTTTCGTTCCTGAGCAACTTATACCCAGGTAGACATACACCTAGTCTTGCTCTTCCTTGAGGCAGGTCCCCATGACTACCACAGCATCATATTTCCACATGGTAATCTGCACCTGTAACTCCCCAGCCTTATATATTGCACTCTGTGCATTTACATACATGCATGTTAACTCTGTTTTGGACTTTATTTCTTTTTCCTTTACTCTGAAATCACTTATTTTCTTACTGTTCTTTATGCTAGTACCAGCAATAATCCCCAATTATTTTGAGTACCTTGCTATTGTCCTCTATTATTCTCTTGGATCCCATTCCCCTGCCAAGTTCGTTTAAAACCCTTTCAATAGCACATGAAAAATTCCCCCAACAAACTCAGTCCTGGCTCTGTTTGGGTGCATCATCTATCCAGCCACACATTCATCTCCCTTATCCTCTTATTTCTGTACATGGCACTGGGAGTACTCCAGAAATCACTCCATTTTCTACCTAGCTCCCTACAACCTAACTGCAGGACCTCATGCCCCTTCCTGCCTAAATCTTTGTTGCCAACATAGACCACAACATCTGGCTGTTCACCCTCTCCAGAAGAGGGTCCTGCAACCAGTCTGTGATATCCTTGACACAGGCACCAACGAGGTAGCATTCCATCCTGAAGCCATATTAATGGGCACCAAAGTGCTTGTCTGTTCCCCTAACTAATCATGATTGCTCCTTATTTCTTTTCCCTTCTCTCCTTTACATTTGGGCTTCTTGTGGTGCCAGAAACTTGGCTCTGACTGCACTCAGGAATTACCTCTCTAAGGGCATTGTTGGCCAACTTACAGCACATGTACTACAGCGGTTCAAGAAGGCAGATCACCATCACCTTCTCAAGGGCAACTAGGGACTGCAATAAATGCTAGCCAGCCATGTTCCATGAATGAATTAAAAAAAAAATTCCTTTTAGGAACAAGACTCTTCAACATTTTCC